TTTGGGCAGGAACTGGTGCACGCATGTGCCAGACAGCAGACGTGGCGAGAAGTGAGGCCCGGCTGGGGCTGCTCCAGGGGGCTCTGTGGCTTCTAACCCCATGTTTCTTGGGGTACCCCAACAGCAGCCAGGCCCGCCCCATGCTGATGATGTCAGCCATCAAGGGGGTGTGTGGGAGGGCGCTGGGGATGCAGAGCCTGTAAACTGTCACGGCCACGTGCAGACTCAGGAAACAGCTCCCTGGCTGGGCCGCCCCCACCCAGGGCCCAGCAGGAGAGGCAGCGTCCCCAGAGCCCCTTCGCTGGAACTCACTGGAGTCAGGGCCCTTCCGGGAGCTAATCGCTCCGCTGTTCCCCGCAGGCCAACTCCAGCCCCCGCCCACTCCTTCTGGTCGGCTACGAGGACGGATCGGTGGCCCTGTGGGACGTCTCTGAGCGGAAGGTGTGCAGCCGCATCGCCTGCCACGAGGAGCCCGTCATGGGCCTTGACTTCGACTCCCAGAAGGCCAGGGGCGTCTCAGGCTCCGCAGGGAAGGCGCTGGCTGTCTGGAGCCTGGATGGGCAGCAGGCCCTGCAGGTCAGTGTGCGGCCCCGGACTCATTTATCCTGCTCTGCACTAACAGTCTGATAGGCTGAAACAATATTTAGGCATGAAGAGGAGTTGTTGCAGATCCCTGGCTAATTCATCACTCGGAGGCGGGCGCAGGCGGGCCTGTCCGCGGCGGGCGCAGGAGGAAGGGGGCGTGGGCGTTGGCGAGCCGTTCACATGGTTTGGGTTTCTCCCAGACCTCGGGTTAATAGCAGTCGTGTCTTGTCCATCTACAGAAAGGCACGTAGAGCCCAGGAATACTCAAACCCCTTTGTAAAAACTCAGAGGAATTTGGTCAGTAAGGAACTGATTAATCAAAAAAAAAAGGAAAACTCCACGGAGCCACTGCCCCCTGTGGTGGTCTGCGAGCCGGCCTGAGGGAGGACGTTGTCACGGGCAGCAGGAAGGCCCACCAGGAAGGGTGTGAGGCCTCCCGGCCAAGGGGGCGTTGCTGAAGACCTTCCCATGATGTCTCCTAAACTCTCCCAGCCAAGGGTGCCATGACTCAAGGGACACCTGGCGTCTGTGGCCCCAGTGACAAGCACAGGGTGGCCTGGCCTGCATGCTTGGCCCTGTTTGGGGTGGGAGGGATGATGGGGGAGCTCCTGCCCAGGCCTTGCTCTGGTGGAGGTCTGAGGGGTGCAGGTCACAGGGCTCCCAGAGGGTGGCCTGAGTACATGTCGGCTTCTGGGGGTGGGTGAAGAGCCCCATTTGCCAGAAGTATCTGAAGACTGAGGCGTGACCATGACCAGTGAGTGGCAACTCCTTCAAAACAGCTCTGGGAACACAGGTCTGGTTGGGGAGGGATGCAGGTGGGAGCTGTTTGTCCCTCTGGGTGACCACAGCAGAAGCAGCAGGAGGCCTAGCTCCCAGCCTCACTTGTGCCCTGAGCCCCAGAGCACCAAAGACAGGGACTGGGTGCCACCCTTCTCTGTGGGGTTGTGGTGGTCCAGCTTCCCCACAGAACAGGAGGCTCCAGAGAGGGCAACACTCCCCATCCACTGAGATTGGCGAGTCTCATGCCTTCCACTCACCCAACATGAGCCCCCGTGGCTGGGGGAAGGGGCTCACTTCTGGCCCTTTAGGCCCACCCCTGAGTGGGCACCACCACAGTCCCCAAGGCACGTGGTGAGATGGGGGATGGATGGGCCCTGAGTGAGGGGATGGGGGTGCTGCTGAGCAGCCCCAGTGCCCTGTGGGCGTCAGCAAGCCTGGGGTGCCACTGAGGGTCACAAAGTCATCCCTGGAGAGAGGGACCAAGCAAGGACAGAAGGGCAAGAGTGAAGCAGAAGCAGGGTTCATGTGACAGGTGAGGAGTTCTGGGCAAGAGGAAGGATGAGAAGGAGCGAGGCGGGAAGGGGCACCAGAGAGGACGGTGACTAGAGCCCAAGGATGTGCACTGAGGTCAAGTGGAGTGAGACCGGAAATGTCCCACTGGAGAATGGAGGTGAGAACCAGAACAAGTGGCCGGCGGCAGCAGGGCTGAGGCTGGCCTGGCATCCCTGCTGGGCAGTATGTGAGCAGAGACTGAGGGTTCCAGGGAGCCCACCCGGCCAGAGCACAGTGAGAAAGGGCAGGGAGTGCCACGTGGGGGCCAGCGGGCAAGGTAGTCATGGGTCACGCTCAGGAACAGGGCGCATATTTATGCCTCCTGGGCATCACCCCTCCCCTGGCAGAACAGCCAGGGCAGACCTGCAGTAAAGCCGTCCTGTCTGTCCATCCGTCCACCCATCAGTCATGCCGGGGAGGCCCCGCTGCCGAGGGGTGGAGCTTCCTATGTTTCCTCTGGGAGGAAGGGTCTCTGAGGCCTGGGAATAGTGGACCTGGGTGGTGGGCGGGTGTGAAAGTCCTAATGACTATGGTCATGTTTAGAAACTGGGGGCTGAGCTACTCCAGGTGCTGGGTCTTCATGTCCTATGCTGCTCCCTCCCTCGGTGCTCAGCCTGGCCAGGTAGGCATGGGGGGTGGGGGTCTCCCGCACATCCGCTCACTCCTGTTCCTTGAGCCAGCTGTACCACCCCCGCATGGCCCAGAGGTCATACGGCTGTGGCTTGACCTTTATCAGCCTGACTTTGTGAAGAGCTAAAGACTTAGGCAGCCTCCCTGAGAGCCCTTCCTGGAGATGCAGCCCGCCCCCTACTAGGTTCCCCTGCACCCAGGACCCTGGGAAGGGGCCCTCTTGCTGTCCTGGCCCAGATCTGCCTGGTCTCTCCTGGCATGTTTGGGAAACAGCTGCTGGAACTTAAGACTTTAATTTATGGGGCACGTTCCAGTCCAGAGATGAACTTTTACTGTACTGATGAATTGAAAAGTTGAAGCAGAAGGGGGAACAGGAATTAATGAATTGAAAAGTCAAAGCAGAAGGGGAACGGGGATGGCAGCATGGGAGCGGTTGGCGTGCGGTGGGTGCTGGGCAGGGCCTCAGCTTGGCAGCACACATCAAAGGAGGAGGAGAGCTTCCCCCGCCGAGCACTGGAGGGGGCTGTGTGTGCTGGGAGGGGCCTGGGAGGGAGAGGATGGCCCAGTGGAGAGGGTGAAGGCTGGCGCTCCATGCGCCACCAACGTCACATCCAGCATTGGCCCCAGAGGCCCTAGAGCGTTCAGGTTCTGTAA